TTCACTGTGCTCAGCATCCTTGCTATGGTGGAGCCTATCCGGTTTGCTATTGGTATTTCTCTTTTCTGCTGACCCCTTTACTTTACAACATGATGTTCCTTTTCAGCGACTGATCCTTCCTTATAAATATATCTAACGCATATGAGACAAACTATCTCCATACTGGCTTCAAAGGAACATTCTGGCTGCAAGAGAGATGTGTTCCCTGTTCTGGCAGTTCATCACCACCATAATTCAAATGTGTCATTTTTTTCTTTCATCTTCCTTGTTCATTGTTCAGCTGTAGTGTACATATGAGGAGATTTAAAATATGTTTTGGGTAAGGTGCACTATAATCCTCCACATCTTTGCTTTCTACCACTTTAAAGATGTCTGATGCAGCAGATTTACCGTGTCATTCATCATTTGATTTCTTTCCATGGGTGTTGACTGTAGAGCCAAGTAAAATAAAGTCCTTAATGATTTTAATCTTTTCTCTATTGACTATTGTTTCTTGATTTGGTTGTGATTCTTTTTATTTTCTTTATGTCAAAGTGTAATTCATAATGAAAACTGCAGTCTATGATTTACATCAGGAAATACATCAAGTCCTCTTTGCTTTCAGCAAGCAAGATGGTGCGTGCTGTGTAGCCTCAGTTGTTATGAGTTTTCCTCTAATGATAGTGCTGTATTCGTCTGCAGATAGTCTGCCTTCTCAGAGTATTTTCTCCTCATACAGATGCAATCAGAATGGCCAAAGAACATGCACCTTTTCTGATATTAAGCCATGCAATGTTGCCTTGTTCTGTTTGAAGGACTGCCTCTGTCTATGTTCTGGTTGCTAATGAGTGCAATTAAGCATTCTTCAATTTGTTATGATCCATACAGTTGAATGCTTTTGCATATTCAGTACACCACAAGTACACATGCTTCCGGTATTTTCTATTTTCAACTAAGTTCCAGACACCAGCAATGACACCCCTATTCCATGTTCTCTTTAAATTAGGCTTGAGTTTTTAGTGGGTCCCTATAATCCACTGGGTGCAACCCTTTTTGAATTATCTTCAGTAAACTTTTACTTGAATAGGTTCTTAATGTTTTCACATTTCAATAAATTTCAATAATTTTCACATTCTGCTACATTACATTTTCTTGGAATGGTCACAAATATAGATCTGTTCCCCTTGATAGGCTATATAGCTGTTTTTCAAAATCTTGGCAGAGTGTGAGCAAGGTAATGTATCCGAGAGGAATTACTGAAACCCAAATGAAGGCTGAGCATGATAGTGGGACAAGAGGAAACTAGGGCATTTATCAAGGTTTAAATAAAGGCATGTACATATGTAAATATATTTATATATGAGGACTAGGAAATAGATGTATGTGCATATATTTATAGGTTTAGTATTAAGGTAGCAGATAGACATTAGGCCTCCACTCAAGTACTCCCTCAATGCAAGAACATTTTGTTCAATTAAACTAGCATTCCATGATGCTCATCTTCCCGACATGATTGCTGAAGACAAAGCGGGTGCATAAGCAAATGGGGTGAAGAAAGCTGGTGGAGCTCAGCTATCCAAAGATATAACATCTAGTGTCTTAAAGGCTTGAAGGTAAGCAAGCAGCCAACTAGCTCACATGCAACAAAGCCCACAGGGAAGAAGCACACCAGCCTGTGTGATCACGAGGTGTCGAAGGAATCAGTTATTCAGG